CTCCCGCCCTCCCTCCCTCCTTCATGGTAGTCTCTCCCCTTTTAGGAAGGCTGTTCTGAAAAACACTAGCTGCCTTGGTAACATCATGACAGAGGACTTTGGTTTATGACTAGGCAGGGGAGGCTATTACTCTGTTCTGCACATCATCATCAGTCATCACCGTTGGGCAGTCAGGCTGCTGGGAGGGGCAGGTCTACAAAGGTGTGGTGCTCCCTGGGTCCTGGCTCCAGCCCACAGCGGAAGAGTGGCAATTCCCCAGTTCTCCTGTCCGTCCACACCTGACCTTACCAGCTGTCTGCTTGCAAGAATCCTTTTCCCTAATACCTAGACCTCCCCACCCCCATCCCCAGCTTGGGCCAAACACTGAAAAGAAAGCCTGTGTCCTATGGATGCCCAAGGGGATTGGGGGGCAGTGCCCTGGCTTCCAGCTTCGAAACCCAACTCTTGGAGTCAGGGTCTGAGCTGCTGGCCTGTGTCACTGCATGGAGCTACTAAGGCCTTCAGTGGAGGAAGCAGGCCCTGCCTCAACTGGGTGGACAGAGAAGACCGGGCAGTCAGAGGCGTGAGGAGCCAGAGATCCTGCAGGAGGCAAGGAGGATTCCATAGCGGTTCTGTGCTGTACATTCAGGGCCTCTTTTTCCTCCCCAGCTCTGCTAGCAAAGCTTCAGCCATGTATGTGTCCCCTCTACCTCCCAGCCCAGTGCCTTTCAGAGAATAAGTGCTCCCTGAGCTGGGGTTCGGGTGGTGGACAGGAAGAGGCTGAAGGGAGCCTCCAGGGCATGGAGGCCATAGGTGGGGGTCTCTGGAAAGGTGAGGACAAGCAGTGAAGGCCAGAGGCGGAGCACTGGCCCTTCCTATGACTCCCAGTGCCTTTCAGCAGAACCAGCAAGGCCACCTGCAGGGTGAGCAGGACACGGGTGTCTAGGAGGCTCAGCCTGGTTTGGTGGACAGGTTTCTCACTGCACGAGGGCAAAGGTACCCACCCTGGGTGCGGCAGGAGAGAGCACTGCAGGTTGGCTTCTATGGTTTGGGTGAAGTGGGGAGGTCACCAGGTAGGTCGCTGACCCTGATTACCACTGAGGAGCCAACAGCACCTACCCTGGCTGAATCACAGATTCCGGGGCATAAAAGATGGAAAGACCTCTCAGGAGTTAGGGCCCTGTCCGAGGCAGCAGTCAGGGCGGGCAGCCTGTTGTCATGTGAGCATTGTGGTCTGTCTGTCCCATCGTTCCTTCCTGTATACCTTCCTCCTCTAGACATCACCAGCTTTGGCCTCCGCCACCCCTTGGAGCATGTCACGACAGCCCTAAGTGGTGCCCTCCACACCTGGGAACACCCTCTGTCCCCTGGACACAGATGCATTCCCAGGGCTGCTTTTCATTGCTAAACTGGGAACACTCCATGCCCACCAGAACAATGAGTCACTCTCCTTCCCTTCTTCTCCTCAGGCCACCTCCTGTGTCCCATGGCCACCCCGGTGACCACACCATTGCTGGCCTGGTATTTGGCGTGCACTTTCTCTTGCTTAGACTCTCCAGGCCAGGTGAAAGCTCCCAGCCATGGCCACCCTGACCCCACTCTGCTCCAGCCTCTTGGTGGGCCTCCTTCCTTCTCACCACCCTTCTCACCTTGCCCTCCTGGACAAGCCTGGGTAGGAGGTAGAGTCTGTCCATTCCTAGCTGGCCTTCCAGCCTCAGCCTGCCCCGATATCTCCCTTTCTCCAGACCCGGAGGTAGGAGAACCCTGGGGGCATGCAGGCCAGCTCTACAGCCCCTGTTTCCATGAGGGCCCCTAGACGAAAGCCTGACTTCTAGCTTGGCTCTGTGCTCAAGTGCTGCCCTGCTGAGGCTCTGAGGCCCCCTGGGGGTTCTCCTGCTCGCTCCTCTCCTGGACCATCACTGCCCACTGGCCAGGAGACTCCTCCAGTATCTGTCCCCCTAACCCCCCCAGTGGAACTCTTCTGGCTTCAGCTTCTGAACCACCGTGGTTCTCATCAGCCCCCACTATTGAACCTCCAGTGGCCCCCCTCTTTTCTTCTCTGCCTGTCTGCAGTGACTCCCCAGTCAGGCCTGTACCTTCTGGATCTGGTGTCCCTTGAAGGTCAAGCCTCCATCCCTTCCCTGCCTCTTCACCCTCAGCTGTCTCTCATGCAGCCACGGGAGGCACACAGTAGGCTGCTAATGGCACTCAAGGGCAATTCCTGACAGGGCAGTGCTCAGTCTCTGCTTGGGGCAGCTCTGCACTGGGATCAGGGTCAGACTTCTGGGAAAGCACTCTGAATCCTCTTTGCACCCACCATGGAGAATAGAGGCCTAAGCATTGAGACCCCAGGTGTCTGGTTCCACACTGGGTTGTCCTCCCCTTGCTGGGCAAGGCCGGAGAGGACACAATGGGGTGGGTCCCAGATATGCCTGCAGATGCCACCCTACTGTGGTGTGTGTGTCATCGGAGAGTGAGGCCCAGACTTTGTCCTGGCAGCCTGACCAGCCCTACCTTATGCACTTTGAGGTCTCGCCCAGGGCCAGGCCTGGCTGACAGTCTTCTGCCCATAGAGTTAAGAATCTTGTCAGGCGTGGTGGTGCAACCCTGTAATCCCAGCACTCAGGGAGATGAGGCGGGAGGTCAACCCTGCAAGTGAGTAGCCTACAAGTGAGTGGGCTACATAGTGAGCTCAAGCCAGCCTGATACAGAGGTAAGTGAGACCCTGTCTCAAACAAACAAACAAACAAAAAGTTTTGCAGGGCAAGGGGCAGGAGAGGGTGTGTAGGAAAGGAATGCTGTGCATAAACCACCCTCTTGTTTCTTTTGTCTGGGGGTGGCAGCAGGTGGTCATGCAGCCAGCCTGGCCCACCTTTTCCCCAGCACCCACCCACCTAGCCCTGCAAGTGGCACCAGGGACCTCTAAGACCTGGCCACTGGGACATGGGCCTGGGATGGCTCTGTAAAGCCAGAGCCAGGTGAAGCACAAGACTGCTTCCAAACCAGAAGGACAGGACACAGGGAAGGGAGCAGAGGGTCCATAGTGTTTGCCAGGCAGGATACATGAAGGAAGGCACAGAGAGCATGTGGAGTGGTGTCTCAGGACCCCCCCAACCAGGGGACAAATGGTCCCTGTAGCCCAGAAGTCTTTGATATGCTCTCAAGCTGTCCCCCATCTTGGGGGGCTCAGGAAGTGGCTATCATGAAATCAGCTGAGGCAAAAAACAAAACAAACAAACAAAAAAAACAACTGTTCAGATACTTCATCTGGGCCACACTGTTTTGGGGGCAGGGCCTTGCCATGTCATCCAGGCTGGACCCAAACTCATGATCCTCCTGCCTCAGCTTCCTGAGTGCTGGGATTACAGGTGTTCGAAACCATCAGCCACCCTTTGTTCCAGATATGGACGTTACCCATGACTCAGCAGGGGCTGTGTACCTCTGTCAGAGAGGAGGGTTAGAGAGTTGAAGACCATGACTAGTAAGGAGGAAAGTATCTCGAGCCCACCTTCCACCCTGCCTCGTCCCAGGACAAGGCTGAGGAGCAGGGAGGGCTCAGCCAGGGTGAGGTCTGAATGTCACTGGCCCTGGACAGAGCCTCTGACTGGCCCAGGCACCTGGTCCTCTTGAGCTTCCTCCCTCCTCTTTGCTGCTCAGAGGGAAGTTTGTTTGAAGCCACATTGTCCTCAAACTTGGATCCGGGTCTGTTCTGAACACTGACAATGAGGTCCAGATACCTCCACCCTAGGGTGGGGCTTTTACCTGAGCTGGCAGGTGGCCCGAGGGGGTGGGGCCCAGCCAGGGAAGAGCCTGACTCAAGCCCCTGCCTTGAGATGCTGGGGCAATCAACCAAGCCCCAGCCTGGGCGGGGAGGACTCAGAGTGAAGGGTGCATGGCAGTGGCAGAGAGCCTGGTATCCTGGCTTCTAGTCTCATTTGCCACACACACAGGCAGGCAGTAGGTGCCACCTTTCTGGGTCTGTTTTCTTATCAACTAAAGAAGGCTTCTCCAGTCTAATGGAGTTGGAAGGTGAGGGTGACCTAGACCTGGGAGGTGCTAGAAAGGAAAAAGGTAGAAGAAACGTCTACCAGACTCAAACCAGGCTCTGCAACGCTGCTGCCCTCTGGTGGATGCATGCAGTCATAGTACAGCGGTCTCGGGAATCTCGTCCTAGTCCCTCTGCCTTCCTCTGTTCCCTGCAGATTTTTCCCCAGGGCAGGAGTAGTGCACTCTTAGAGACTTCACCATGCACCAACTCTCTCTGGGTAGGGTGTATTATGAGGTACAGGGGCAGAAAGGCAGTCACAGGGTGTGCGCAGGATTCCCTCAGCAGTACTGTGGATAGCATGGGTTCCAGATCTCTCTGCAAGCACTGAGGGAGACTCCTCAGCCTGCATGGGTCAGTGTGTCAGGCCCAGGGGATCCCAAGGCCCTTGATTCCCACCCTCAGAAGCCTCAGCCCAACGGTGGGGCAGACAGGCAAACTGCAGGCTCTGCAGAAATTGGCCGATGTGGGGGCTTCTCAGCATATTGTGTGAGTAGCACCTGAAAGCCCACAGCCAGCTACTGTGGCTTCCCATCTGACTGCGGGCTTGTCCTGAGCACGTGGGCCTCCAGCCTGATGGGCCAGGGGGCCTTAGCCTCTGAGTCAGGGCCTCTGTCCCTGCAGGTGCTTCTAGAAGAGCTGGGTCTCTTCCCTGCAGGATGGCTGGCTTTCCACGCCTGCTGCACCCTTGTTCCCGCCCCGGCCAGGACTAAAGGGGACAAAAGCCTTGCCTCTTCCTTTCAGTTTCCTCTGGCTGCATCTCTCCTCCCCAGATCTGAGTCCTGAGTTCCAAAAAGAGTGGCAGATCCTACTCTCCCTCCCAGGCCGGGCCCTGGGGGCCTCCCAACTCTGGCAGCAGCAGGGGGCAGGTGATGGGGAGCTGGAGGCTGCTAGAGGCTCCTAGAGACTAAGGCTTCTGAAGCTGGAAGTCAGCAGCCTGTGTGGGGCAGGATGTTGAGAGGGTGGGAGAAGAAGCACGTGTGTGTGTGTGTGTGTGGAGAGAGAGAGAGAGAGAGAGAGAAAGAGGGAGAGAACTTGTGTGTGGGGCCCAGGATGAGGAGCCTGGGTGCGTCACTGTTGCTGTGAGAGTAGACAAGTGTGACTCAGTGAGAACATCCGGCAGGAAAGGAGGAGAGAGCACAGTGGCATTTGCAAGCAGGATGGGAACTCTGGCGCTGCAGGGATGGGGTGTGGGGCCTGGTGAAGGCCTGGAGAAGGAAAGGGCTTAGTGTTGTGGAGCGGAGGGGTTGCGGGGAAGGATAGGAAGGAAAAGGGGGAGCAGAGATTTGGCCTCTGACTGCCTGGGCTGGTTTGGGAAGACAGAGAGGCAGAGAAGCTTTCTGCTCCAGACAGAGGGGACGGGGAAACTGAAACTGACCCCAGGTTATCCTAATGGAGGGTGTACCATGCTTCCTGGTACCCCTAGCCTTTGGCCCGAGAGGCTCCAGGATGTGAATGGCTGGACAGGGCAGGGACACCAGCCTCAGCTGTGCGAGGGTGATTGGGAGAGGCTTTCCTGAGAAGGGCTACATTCTTCCTCTGGGTCAGAGACTGGAAGGGAAGAGCAAGACCAGGAAGGGCCTGGCAGAGAGGAGCCTGAGGGAGGAAGGCTGTGGGTGCTCTGAGCTGATGCTAAGGGCCCTGAAGGGAGGTCTCATACCAAGGGTCAGAAACCAGACGACAGGGCGCCTCCCAGAAGTGGCTGTGCTAGAGTGATTAACACGGTATTTTAGGTATGAGGTAGTGTGTGGTGGCTTCAGGGAGCTTCTCAAAGCTCTGAATGCCTTCAACGAAGGCTGGTAGAGCCAGCTGGACAGGGAGGCCACCTGAGGTGGAGGCCTCAGATCTCGGGGTCTGATGGGAGGGATAGAGGCCTGCCTGTGGCAGGCAGGCCTGGGCAGAGGTCCTGCCTCCTTTGTGGGCTCGACACAAGTCCCTGAGGATGCTGGGACAGGGTAGGGAGAGGTGCTGGGCAGGACCAGCTGGCTGCCGGTGCCCCGGTCCTGCCCTCTGTGAGTGGAAGAGTGGGGGTGGTGGTGCAGTGTTCCTGGCTGGGAGCCCAGAGGAGTCTTTTGTAATCACAACATGATCTCGTGTGCTAAGCAGCGAAGCCGGCAGGGAGAGGCCAGCAGAGGCCCAGCTCCGGCGGCTCCGGCTTCCCTCCTGCTCTGGCTCCCCTAGGGCTGCTCTGGAATTCTCTTGGTGCCTGCTGTTGCCATGCACCCAGCTGTGAGTGGCACCTCACCTTGGCGGGGGGCTTCTTGGGGCTGGGAGAGGGCTGAGATACTGGGCAGACACAGTCTGGGGGCAGATGGGGACATCAGGGACTGGAAAGATGAGGTCTGTGATGAGGCAGATTGAGGGTTGGACAGACACTGGCATGGCAGAGGCCCCGCAGCCAGACAGAGGGCTGGAGCTGGACACTGAGACCCATCTGGCCCAGGGTGGCTCCCGTGTGACAGAGCTGCCATTGGCGGCTCGGCCTGGAGGGCTGGGCCCGTGGGAGTAGCTCTCTCCTGCAGGCTGAACACAGGCCGGGGAGCAGGGTCCAGGCCCGAAAGCCCAAGACCAAGTTGAAACCTCTCTTTTTTTCTGTGGTCCTGGATTTGGGAGCTGAGCGGCTCCCTCCTTGGCCTCCCCAGTCCCCTGGCAGCTGCCCAGTCATGGCAGGTTCGGCTGCCAGAGCCATTTATAACTCTCATTCCAGACTCTGCTCACAGTGGGGCTCCCTGGAGAGCTGGGGGAGGTGCAGCTTGCCGTTGGAGTGGTGGCCTGGGTAGTGGGCCCTGACCTAATCCCCCAGGGGTGGGGACGGAGACAGGCAAATAGGCTCACTGGCAATGGGCCACCTCCCCAGGAACTCCCTCCCTCCCGTGTGACCTTCCTGCAGTCCTGGGGCCAGTTCCTTGGGTGGTAATAAGCCTGGGTGGAAAGGTGGGGAACTAGGAAGGGGGTGGCAGTCAGGAACTTGGGATTCCTGCCCTCTGTAGGGGCCTCATAGAACCGAGTCCCTGATGAGCAGGCAGCAGGAGAAGGATGCTGAGTTGGATCGCAGGATAATTGCCCTGCGCAAGAAGAACCAGGCCTTACTGCGCAGGTACCAGGTGAGCAGCTGGGCTTGGAGGGGTGTGGGCGCACCTGGCTGACTCAGGGATACCTCCCTGCATGGCAGGTGGGCTCTCCCTGCAGGTTCTGGAGTGGGTCTCTGGGCCTGGAGCCAGGTTTGAGGTGGGCATGGCCCCCTCTCAGAGGCTTGCCCAGGGTCTTGGGCACTTGCCTGGGTCCCACTGGTGTCTCTCTGCGTGGGCCTGGCAGGCTGTGGCCGGTGCTGACCCCAGGCCCTCCCACAGGAAATCCAGGAAGACCGTTGGCAGGCAGAGCAGGGGGGCATGGCTGTGACTGCACCGGGGGTCCTCCTACCAGACAGCCTTACAGTCACCATCAGCCAGGTTCCCGGTGTAAGCCTCACCTTGGAGACGGGAGGGTGGCAGGGTGGAGGCCCAGCCCCGTGCCCAGGGAGGACAACTGCCCCTGCTCCTTCTCTCATTCCCTGTTCTGGGGTGTACCCAGAAATCCCAGCCTCACATAGCCCAACCAGTATTGTCCCCTCAGAGGGCCACAGCTGAAAGGTCACTGAATAGAAGCCTCCTTGTACCCTTTTCCAGCCTGGCAGCCTTGCACCTATGCCCTAAGGCACAGGGCTGCTCCTAACTCCGGACCCCAGGACTAAAAACTGCAAAAACTGGGGACAGAGAATCAGGGCTGAAGGTCAGAAGCAGAGTCTGAGACAAAGCCCCACTGTCTGTGCACCCTGGTGTTCCCAGCTCAAGATGACAGGCCACTGTGGCATCTTGGACCCTGAGTAGACCTGGGCTCTGGGTTACCTAATGCAACTGGCATGTGAACTGCCAGCTTCTCTGAGGGCATCCCAGGGAGGGTCTGGACTGATACCCAGGCCTGGAGACCCACCTAGAGGGCCTGAACCCAGGTCTGTCCAGCACGCCATGGAGCCTGAGGGAATGGGTATCTCGAATGGTAGGAGAAGCGGGTCGTCAGCAGGAACTGGGTGAGGAGCCCTCCTGGACCTGGTGTGCCCAACGAGATGCTCAAGGGTGAGCATGCCCAGGACCGCAGGGGGATTTTCTGCTTGGGGGAGCGAGTGGAACTGGCCGTGACCATGGAAAACAAAGCCAAGGTGAGCAGGGCTGGGGCATCCAGGTCCTGGCGGACAGCCCTCCCCCCAGGCTATGGCACGCTGCCCACTGTCACCTTCTCCAGGCTAAACGGATCGTGAGTGAGAAGCCCGCTAGAGCACGGAGCCAGGGGGCAGGTGGGTCACCCGGAGGGGGCTGCGGCCAGAGCTGCCCCACGCAGACAGCCGTCAGCTCGGATGCTGTGAGGAAGGTACATCTTCCAGAAGGGTGGGGACGTGGAAGTGGCAAACCCCGTTGCAGGAAGCAGAGGGAGCGGACTGAGCTATGATCTTCATGTGCAGGGAGGGGATGGAAGTAGCCTCTGAGAATTCTCACCTTCCTTCCTTTCTTTATCAGGCTCCACTTTGGGTGGGCCTTGCAGTGAGGGGCAGTTTAAGACAGAGAAGTGATCAGGTGATCGGGGCCCCTACCCTCTAGACCCACCTGGTGGCAGTGGGTGGGGGTGGAGGGGACTGGCCTTGAGCCAGTGTGACCTCTAGGTGGCAGCAGCCCCTAGCTCACTCTGCCGCTGCACCTCCCACCCTAGGCTGGCCTGAACCCCCGGGGCGGTGCTGTTGTTGCCTGCATTTACAGATGAGGAAATGATACTCAGAGAGGTTAAGCTGCTTGCCCCAAGCACCCAGCTTGCGAGTGACACAGCTGCCCATGGCAAGCAGAGGGATGCTTAGAGAGGGAATAGATCTCATTTTTAGATGGGGACGTGGAAACCACAGAAGAGGAGGGTTAGGAAGTCTTCAGTCCTTGTCCTGCCTTTGTCCCCACCGTGTCGAGTGTCTTCTTCTTGCAGGGTGCTTGGGAACCCCGGAGTCCAGGCGTGGCCCCAGGCCCAGCTCCCCGGCGGCCAGTGGGGGAGACCCCGGAGTCACAGTCGGGGGGCTGGGACTATGCGCAGTGGAAGCAGGAGCGGGCACAGATTGACCTGGCCCGCCTCGCCCGGCACAGAGACGCACAGGGTGACTGGCGCCGCCCGTGGGACCTGGACAAGGCCGAGCCCACGTGGGTGGCAGGGCTGGCGGGTTGCCAGGCTGACCTGCTTGTGGGACTGGTGGGGCTGAGTGTGGGTTTTACTTAGAGGGCAAGGACCTTTCTGGCCCTTGGATCAGGCCGGGCTTGGGGCTCCCTGCGAGCAGGGGCCTCCCTTTCTTGGACCCACTGTCTTCCTGCTGCTGCCCTTAGCTCTGGGGCTGCTGAAGTAGTGTCGGTGTGGGGCCTGCTGTAACCTCTCTGCACCCTGCAACCAGCACCTGACTCCCCTCTCTGTGCACACAGGCTACAGGACTGCAGTGCGCCCTGGGACGAGGGTCCTGTCAGGGTGGGCAGCAGAAAGGGTGAGCTCACATCACCTCATCCCCTGTACCTTGGGTTCTTCCCCCCACCACACCCCTCTTTCTCTCTCTCTTGATTTCCTGCTTCTTTTCAGAGCTAAAAGGAAGCCTGGGAAGACATCTTCCTTCCCTTCCTTCTTCTCCTGCACTGTCAGACCTTCCCCCATCCTCTGAGTCCACAGCTCTTGCCAGGTTCTGGGCCCAGCAGACCCCAGGAAGCCAGTCCTGGATCTTCCTAGGAGATACTCACCATCAGGTTAAAGGCTGCATGGCTCTGGCCTGCTGCAGGAGCAGCCCTGCGGATTTCTGGCCCTCTCATTCTACATACAAGAAAGCTGGGACCTATGTGGGGGGCTGGTTCAAGTCACCCAGTCATGTTCTGGCAAACAAAGCACAGCTCTCCAGGCCAGAGCTCTTTTGGGGACACAGAAAACCCACAAGTGGATCAGGACTGGTAACCTGGGGCCGGAAGAATAGGTGTTTATGCTCTGGATCCTCTGTTACCACACCTTTTTCCCCATTTTTTTTGTCCCCTGCTAGGCCTCAGGGGCCAATGGAAGGTACAGCCCCCACTGCTGTCCCCTGATGGGAAAGGTGAGTTGGAGGAGCAGGGTCCCATCAGCTGGTGAAGGTGCTAGCTGCTATGCCTTCTTCTCCTTGCTTGGTGGACCATGTCTTGCAGGTTGGGGTGAACAGCCTGGCAGACCTTCAGTTTTGCCAGCCACTGGCAGCAAACCCCGGGGGAAAGAGAGGCTGACTGGCAGGGCCCGAAGGTAACAGGTGGCAGGGGACAAAATCAAGGCAGGAATCTAGGCATCCCAATTTCCTGGATGGCCCTGGTACAGGTGCCTGCTCCATCCCCAGGGTTCCCACCTCCTGGCTGGCTGCTGCCTGGAACAGGTTAATGAGATGCTGGGAGAGGCCAGCTGAGGCAGTAGGTGCAGAGCGTGGTGCCCAGGGAGGCCTCGTAATTATAGCAGCTCCCTTCCCCTGGGCAGTGAGGGAGGTGCTCCTTTCCCAGGCAGTGCAGGCAGAGACATGCCTAGAGTCCCCACAGAGATCAGGTACAGCAGGCTTGGCCACAAACAGCAGCTGGGGACCCAGGATGGGGCCAAGGGGGATGGCATTCAGAAGAAGTGGTTGGATTTGGGGACAAGGTCAGGCTCGCAGGGAAGCATCCTGGAGCCTCATTCTGGCTCTGACACTGCTCTGAGACCCTTAGGCTTTAGCTTCTGCCATTAGCTGTAGGGTGGGGAGTGATGTAAAGCGGGTGAGGATAGGCCCAGGGCCTTCACGTTCTGTGTTCTGCAGGTGGGATGCAAAGGAAGACGAGGAGGAGCTGCAGAGTCATGAGGTGGGTTTGGGGGCAGAGGCGGGGGCAGGCTGGGGACATGAAGCCTGAGCTTACCAGTCAGCTGGGCTGTTCTGTGGTTTCAGGGAAGCCAGAGCACCAGAAAGCCTTCCAGGGCAGAGGAGCAAGCACAGAAGCAGAGTGACACAGAGCTGGGCAGACTGGAGGGGAGCCTGGCAACCGGCCTAGCCCCAACCTCCCCACAGGGGCCAAAAGGGGAGTCGGGGGCCTCGACAGCCAGCTCGGCCCCTGGCTCTCCCCAAAACACTGACCTGGCTCCCCTCGACCTCTCTCTAGGAGGACCCAGCAGCCCCAGGCCTGGAGAGAGTACATGTGTGCTCAGTCCAGGGCCTGGGGCCCAGGAGAGCCCAGTGTCCCTGCCAGGTGGCTCCCAGAAGCAGCCCCTGGAGTGTAATGACCACCCGTCTGGGCCAGAAGTTCAGACTTTCTCTGGGCCAGGGAAAGGATCAGGGGCCTTAGAGCCCAGAGAGGACAGGGCTGGCAAGGCTGGAGCTCAGCAGAAACTGGCTCCCACCCGCAGGCCCCCCAGAGGAACCAGCCAAAGAGTGAGAGGGATGGCTGCGAGGAGCAGGACAGGGGCTCCTGGCCCTTCAGGAAGATGCTGAGCATGACTCCCAGGTGCTGGAAGCCAGGCTGGGGAGAAGAAGCAGAAACTCAGTCAGAAGTCAGTCTGGTTGCTGGTGGAGGGCTGAGCAGTGTGGCAAACCCGCCAACAGGGATGCCTCCTTCCCTGCACCTCGCCTGCGCATCCCTGAGCTTGCTCGGGCCCCTGGCATATTCCCATGCTGGGACCAGGTATCCAAGACTGGTTACCTGACCTGTGCCCACCACTGCTCAGGTCATAGGCCTTTTCTGCCACGGTACGGAGCAGGGCTTGGTAACCCCCAGCACCTGGTTTTCCTGGCTACCCATCATCCCCAGGGCTTCTGCCTCCTCAACCCAGGCAGGCTCCTGGCTGGCATGGTAAGCCTGGGCCCAGGTCCTTTCCATGTCTTGCCTCTCTCCCAGGTGGCTCACAGGATGGTCAAGCCCAGAGAACCTCTTCAGCCATCTCCTGTCAGCCTCCTGCTTCTCCTAAAGAGGACTCTGAGGTCCAGTTGGTGGAGTCTGGGCTGGGAGCAGAACAGAAGAGTAGACGATGTGAAGAGGAGGGTGTCTGGAAAGGCCTCCTCTCTGAAATAGGGCAGGCTGGGGAGGGGACACCTCATGAACCCAAAGAGGCTCTCCCTTTCCCTGCAGCGGGTCAGACATGTGCACCCAGAAGGGAAACGAGGGTAATTTCCTGCCCTCTCCTCTTCCTCCCCTACCTCCTGCACCAAGGCCATGACAAAGCAAGGAATCAGAGACAGAGACTCCAGAGACAGACAGACAGTGACTCTGGCTAAGTAGGACATCAGGTCTTGTCTCTCCTACTTAGTCTCCATTCCCGCACTCCCTGCCAAGGCCCATGCCTGATGAATTATCTAGACTCAGCACAAGCTGTGGCTTCCTTTCAATTCAACAAACATTTCCTGAGCACCCTCTACCAGTAATCCAGCCGGTGGGCGACGGTGGCTTTGCCAGAAAGAGGGAGGGAAGAAACCCAGTCATCAGCAGCTCTAGGCTGAACAGCAGGCACTGTTCTTGGCTACAGATGCCTGGCAGTACTGGGGGCAGGACAGTGGTAAGAGCTGATACAGCCATCTCTGCTTGGTGGAGGCAGACGCTCCTGTCTGATGTGACCCGTGCCCTCTGTGCCCAAGCCCTTGCCTGGACCTCAGCATGTGGCCCCTTCTGCTTCCCTCCTCTCTGGTCCTCTGTGGGTCTTCCTGAGAGGCTGGTGGACCTCACAGACCCTCTTGAGGCTCTAGGGAGAGTCCGGATCATCCCCAGAATATCACTACAGTTAGGCCAGAACCGTGGAGTGGCAGCTCAGTCTTCCTCCCTGGCTCTTGGCTCCTCCCCACCCTCTACTCAGAAAGGGATCTCTTCAGCAGACCAGATAGAGAAGCCCTCTCACCCTTTCCTGTGAAGAGTCAGGCAGGTTCTGGAGAGGGCCTACAAGTGAGGCCTGCTGTTCCTGCTGGTTCCTAGACTCTACCTTTTGAGCAGTAAGGGCCTGGATGAGAATGTGAGGAGGGCTGAGAGAGAAGGCAGACCTAAAGGGCAGGTTGCTGGCTATGTAGGAGTGGGGAAGGGTTACCGCTGCCTGGGGCAGCAAGTATCTTGGTTTCAGAGTGGAATGAAAGCAGAGGCTCCTGGGAAAATCTCCAGGAAGCAGTGAGGGGTGGTGCCAACTCAGTGCAGTACACCAAGAAGCTGGTCAGGGATTTTTGGTGGTGAATGGGTAAAAGTGGTGGGTGTGAAGTCAGACAGAAGCTTGGGAAGGCTGGAAAATATCCCTATGCACCTGGGCAACATCTGGGCCAGGGCAAAGACGCCTAGCTCAAGCTTTCCTCTTGTCTTACAGTCATAAATTTATAGTTTTGTAGTATGGCACAGGCCCCAGAGCTCATGACTCCCAAAGGACCAGGCTGAGGGGAGCAGGTTCAGGTAGAGCCCTTGAGTTTGGATGTCTCTGAAAATGATTTCAATCAAAAATCTGAATTCTGGACTGGGGATGTGGTCCCCAGTGTAGTCTGTGGTAGAACACATGCTTAGCACAATGAGGCCCTGGATCTGATCCCAGTAGCACATCAAAAACAAAAAAAAAGGAGAGTTTGAATTCTAAGATTCACAGTTGCATCCCATAGACCCCAAGCTGCCAGCTGTACAGATGTGCTTTCATTAAAGGTGTAAGCTATGGCACGTTTGACCATGGAAGGAGAGGGAGAAATTGGGCAGAGCCCTGGTTCAGCCCTGGGAAAGAGACCAAAGCTGGAGGGAAAATTGGGCAGAAAAGCTTGGAGGACAGGGGCCTTCTCTCCACGAGGGAGCATCCAGAAGACCGTCAGGAGAAAGGGTGTCCTGAGGTGGGGAGAAGGGAGAATAGCACAGGATGTTCTCATCACAGGAAGATGGTGGTGCAGGGAAATAACCCTGAGCTTTTCCTGGGAAAGGAGAGCTCTTCTCCAAAACAGGGGAAACAACAGTTATGGTGGCTGCCCCTGCTGCTCTAAGCTGGAGCTAGCTACGGAAGAGGAAGCACAGTTAGGCACCCTCCATAGACCTTGGCAAGCTGGCTATATCTCTTCCTGGCTTCCAGCCTTCCTCTCGGATGCCCTTCTCTTCTCTAAACACAGACAAGACTACTCTTGGGGGGACTTCATCGACCATGGCTATCAGAAACCTAGACATAAGGCTGGAGGAGTTCAGCAAGAAGGTCACACAGGAGTGGGAGGGAGCCGGCAGGGAAAGAACAGCTTTACCTGAGGCCTTGAGACAGGAGGGCTGAATAGCAGAGGCCTCTCTGTCCCAGGCCCATCTCACTTGGCAGAAAGAAAACCAAGTAGGCCAGACACAAGAAAGTCATGTGTTTTGATGACAGGCAGAATGGCAGAGTGGAACGAGCACTGGCCTTGGCCTCTAACAGACTGAATCTGAACCCTAGGCCTGCCATCTGTCAGCTGAGTGACTGGCCTATTTTACTTCTAAAGCCTCAGTCTCCTTATCTGCAAAGCGTCATCTACCTTGAAGGATTGTTGAGAAAATGAATTTGCAAAAATATAGCTGGCATGCAGTAGACACTGTAGTGTGCTCTCCCTGGCACACAGAAAGCACTTGGTAAATATCTGTTGAATAAACAAAGTGACTATTTGGTGTGATCTCTGTCTATTTTGCTTTCTATCTTCCCCTTTACACTCTCTTTTATCCTCATCTTCACTGTTGGTCAGTGCACTCTCCAGGGAAGGAGAAATGGTTTTTACAGTTTATCTAGCCCTCCAAGACAATTTTCTTCTTTTGACACTCCCTAGGTGTTCCAGGGGAGTGAAGCACCTCACCAAGTATCCGTGCTTTTTCAGGGACTGTCCTTTGGGCTCCCCCACTGGCATCATCACTTCCCTTTAACTCTGCATACTGGCTCTCAGGCTCACAATTGTTACTCTTTTCTTCTGTTTATATCAGGAGCACACTCACAAATTCATACCACGATTTCTGTTGCTTTAACATTTTCCCCAGAAACCAACCCCTCTGTGGAGTTTGCTCTGTGTTTCCTAGGGTTAAATTTTGCCACCGGAAGAAACATCATGACTATGTTTTCTTATGGTTGAGGGACAGCTAGCTGGGGATCCGTGGAAGCACGGGATGCCCAGCTAATCTCACAAGACACAAGTTTAGAAGGTCTGACCACCAGTCAACTCTGGCCTGAGGCACAGGAATAACAGGGAAAGATGGCCATATCTCCCCACCCACCCAGGAAATGGCAAAACTCTCCATAAGGCTGTATCTTCTTTGGGGGATTAAATTGAGGAGGAGGGAGTCAATGGAATGTAAAAAAGCAAAGACATTATTTCACTTGTTTTTGTGCCATTTATCAATGTCCACAGACCCCATCAAGCATTCCTTCAAAGCTGGGGTTATGGGGCCTGAAGAGAAAGGGCTGATGGTGCCCATGACATCTCTGCACGGAGAGTTCAGGGCTGGGGAAGGCAAAAGTGGAGCTGGCAGAAAGGCTGCTTTCTCTAAGCAAGCCTGCTGGGGCTACGTCACCACTCACTAAGCATCCATTTGACACCAGGGAAGTGAAATAGCACAGACCCGGCACCAGAGAGAACAAATGCGGCACCCATTCCTCCTTTTAAGGACTGGCTTGAGAAGCTGCAGGCCCTAGGGCAGGATGTGCGGCGGACACATCAGTACCTTTGAGGGAAAAGGGGAGGGAGGACAGAACACACAAGGACTCTCAGGCCTGCCTCCCTTCACAAGCTCTCCAGGGCAAGTTCTCCTGCCACCATAAAAAGTAATGAACAATGTAGGTTTTTCTCCTTTTCTTACAGACTCTGGGGACACAGCTTTTCTTCTCCCAGCAGGGCAGCTGGCTTCAAGGAAGCAAAAAGATCAAAAGTCATCTTGATAGCCATCCATCCAAACAGAAGTATCCTAATCCTACATCACAAAATCAGAGGAAAGCCTGGGTGGGTCAGTGGTTCTCCAAATTCAGTGTGCATCCAAATCACCTGGAAAACCAGTTACAATAGAAAGATGAGTTCTACTTCCTGAGTTGTTCCTTCAGCTGGCCTGGGATTGGGCCTGCGGTGATACAGTTCTATCAAATTCCCAGGTGAGGCTGAACTGTTGGCCTGGGTGCTGGCATTGTTTACTACCTGCATTACTACTTTGCATTTCTTTCCATGCACTGTTTTTTCATAAAGGTACAGACATGCGTTTGAAAATATATTATTTCATGTGTACATACTGCTTTACTTCCAAGTTCTCAAGGCCCTTCACACGGTTACCTCTAGTTTCTCTCATGCACGCAGTCAGTCTCACTGGTTGTCAGAAAAGAGAGAGGAGCAGGGCCTTAACCAGTGCCACTGTTGAGATCCCTGGTGTCCAATCTTCCAGTTCAGGGGTCCCTTCTGAGAACATACTGCCTCCTCAACAGGTCCTAGTGATGTCATGAGCTGTCCACGGCTCCGGGACAGGCTGCCGTGACTTGACACTGTCCAGGTACCAGCAGGGAGTGGAGAGGGGTCAGGTGGCCTGCAGTACACAAGCACGGGAGACCGCAACGGTGACTGCGAACACTGAGAGAATGGAGAAGTATTTAAATGGGAACCACTGGTGATGTACACAATTGCTGTTGTTTGGGCGAAGTTTGTTTTGGGACTTTTGAGGCTCACTTGGCACACTGCCAGCAGTGAACAGTTTGAATGGTAAATATTCCTAAGGATACAAGTTAAACTCTTATTCCTGTTTATCCTAAAAGCTAATGTAAAAACATTGCTGGAATTAAGAAAACAGCAGTCAAAGACTCTTGTGAGCATTACTATAAAGGGCAAGGATTGTTGGGTCATTTTCTGGTCCCTTCCTGGTGGCTTAGCCAATGTTTCTGGAATTGAATGGCACAAGGGGAGACTGTCTGGCCCAGAGTGTCCCTCCCTGACAGGTGGCTCATGGTGGACCACTAGAAGCCAGCAGTGTTTCTGACTAAGGATGGAGGGCCTGGTGGAGTTTGGGTGTGTGGCAAAGAGAAACTTTGTTTGTTTAATTGGCCACTAGTGGGAAGAAAAGGCATAACCCAGGCTTTCTGGCAGCACAAAACCACAGGCTATGTCAGCGAGTGAAACAGATGTGACCAAAAACTGTCAACAGAACAGCTATTTTTGTAGCTCCACATTAGGGCTGGGACAGAGGAGACAATGAGGGTCACACGGCTTGTGTCATATCTGTTAAGCACTGCATGGAGTATTGCTGTGGACTTCGAGCTCCTGGAAAGCGCAGGTAAACCAAAGTGAGTCTCTCCTCTTAGAAATAAGGCCAGAGGAGTTAGTGCGGCTACAATTTGCTCTGTTCCAGGCACTGAGCATGGATCATAAGAAATGGCAGAGCAACTGCAGCCTCTTCCTCTGCTGAGGGAGGCAAAAAGAAAAGAAAAAAAAAACAAAAAACACACAGCTGTGACTGTTTTGTTACTGAATTATAGTTCCAGAAATACCTTCATTCTCTGCAGACAGGAGAGGGAGGACAACTGTGACCCTTTAGATGGCTGTGGTAGCCCTATGGATCGGGACCAACCTTTCAGTTCTCCTTAAAGAAACATGTTGGAACAAGTAAAGGCTCTGCACTCAGCATTTCAAAATAGGATATAAATACTCAAGTAAAGAACACACTATCTTAGAATTCCCCAGTGAAATCTGAAAAACAAGGTAGACAGAAAAGCTAGGAAACTGTGGTCTCATACCATGCAGCAATCTACAGCTGTTCGGAAGAGAACTATTTCAGAGAAACACTTTGCACCTGAGTACCCCGGGAGGACAGAAAAGATACCCGCAAAAGTGCAGTTGAAAGAGCTCTCTGACTCCATTACCTTCTGAACTTCAGTTTACCAATAGGATTCTCTCTTCCTCCAAACTCAGGCTGCTAGGGAAGAAATGATTACAGTAACTTCTAAAGTAAGAACCTAGAAACAATCTGTAGTCCAGGTGCAAAGGAGCAGAAAGCAAGCAATGCCCTCAGCACAGGGCTCTCTCTCCTACTTTAAAACATGACATGGGCCATTTGGCGGCTCATTTCCAATGCTTGCAGAGAAAGCCATTCTGACCACTGCTCCCAGATAACCCAGCCTTCTCATCAGCCAGCAGGCTCCTGCTGAACCTACTGCTGTCTGTGCCCAATGTGTGAAGTGTGTTCGGCTGCAGAAGCCACAAGTCACCCTCTACAGAAAGGAGGGGCTGACTCAGAGAGCCTGGAAACTCTTTCACTCCCCTCTGCTCTGCCTTACCAAGCCCTTTCACAGAAAGCCATTGTGTAGGCTGAAGAGGAAAATAAAGGAAGGCGGACTTTTTCCATGCCTCCCCTGCAGACTACAAGGTAATGTAAAAGCACAGTGGCTACCCCCCAACAGCTCTGGAGAAGTGCAGGCCTCAGGGGGCCCCACCAACACTGGCTTCTCACTTGGATTTGTACTGGGCAGCATTGTCTAATAATGAGCAGAGCTCAATTGCTTACCACGCATTTTGCAGCATAACTAATCCCTTATATTTATGCTCTTCATCCATGCCTTTTTTGTTTGCTTTAAAGGAAGAAAAATCCTTCACCTTTGAAGCAACC